AAGTCATGGATTACCAACGACAGACGGCCACCGACGGGCATTGCGATTGGAGCGTCCAAGAGACAGACAGACGATGTGGAAGTAACTCGTTGACCCAGTAGCTCCAAGCCAGCGTATTCCGGCCAAATACTGTTACGCGGATGCATTTCATAGCTGTGAAAATGCAGCTGTGCGGCCGGGTGACAAGTGCTTTATCATTGACAGCCAAAACCACAGCAGCAGCAAAACACAACGGCTCAAAAAGCGAACGCCGCTAAAGATCTTGACAGATCTGGCAGCTGCGATCGCGTCACTTTTGGCAGATATGGCAAAGAAATGAAAATATGTTTGTGGCACAGTGGTAGCAGTCACGTGGCCCGAGCCTCATGGTCATTGAGGGCAAACGAGAAAACGCCTCTCACCCGGAAGTGGTGTAAAATCCTGAAATCTCGCTGGTCGGCATGATGCACCCTTCAGATCTGTTGTGTTCAAGGCAATTTGGAATTCAATCGAGTCTGGATACTTTCATTAAACGTCGCTGATTGTTCTGTGACGTGTCTGGAGGCTCTGTCTCTGCTACTGTTTTAGTCTTCAATGAACCACCGTCATTTTAACAACAGATTAATCTTCCACGCTATTCACTTGTTTTGTAACACTCACCCACTGGACGACATCAAAGGCCCGACAGAAGCAAACTCCAGAAGATCTGCTTCCACGAAGAAAAATGGAATTGAGTTCAAAGGAGGTGCATTGGATGTAAAACGTAGCATGCGTTTTCTGTTTCGTTGGCTACGTCACTCATCTTCAAAACCTGTTCTTCCTCTAGAGTTGGGACAGCAACTACTAGGAAGCGTCCAAATGGTCCGGCACTATAGCCAATCAAGCAAACTCAGTGAATTCGCCTCCAGGTCATCTGTGCATTGAAACAGTAATGTTTAATAAATACATTATCCGATCGACCATCTGAGCAGTTCTAAAGATATTATTCGAATTCATGTGGATGCAAGGTGAAACTCGTTCAGAGGCTTGCCTCACATACATGTGCTATGCACCATATTGCCGAAGTTCGTGCTGAAGCGAGGACCTGGAAACGGTGCAGGAGGCTGCCACTTGCTGATTATATCTATCCCTGACTAGAACCTTAAAACATGCTCAGTTTTTATGAATCTGTTCAACTGTATAAAAGTTGCAAAGACGCCATAGTTCGACGTTCAGCACCCCGAATCGATTGACAATCAACCATTCACCAAAAAACATTCAAAGACAGAGAAAATTCGTGCGTCGATAAGAAGACAAATCAAATAACGGATATGGATCATAATTGTTAAAAATGATGACATAAAATGATTCACTGTTGTTGGGAAGTGTCCCCTAAAGAAGGTTCAGGCACAATCCACAACGTTGCGACTATGTTGCATAATATATGCGTGAAGAGCAAACCTTCCAAAGACTTTCGCGATAATATCACATCATCATAATCCATAGATTTCGTCCAATCACACTGAGTGCATCAACGAAAATATCAAGATCCACAAGCATTCGAAAATCAATACGCTTGTAGCAACCTTGACATGGGCGTTTAGTAACAGCGCTGACCAATCAAAACACCTGGTTATTGAAGAGTGGCCGCTGGTCAGATGAACTTTTGAATTTGTCATCGAATACCTGTCTCGAACGTCTTTCGGTATGATCATACTGATTACGTATACAAATTACACATTAAGAATCGCAGGCCGGTTCCCTATCCGAGAGAAGCCATTTCGAATATTTCAATGGATGTCCGGCACAGAGGCAACGGGTTTCAGGGGTCGACATGCATACCGACTGAAAATCTGAACGAAGCGTTGTGAGCACTGTCGCGATTAATATTTAAAAAAAGCATGACTGCGTCATGCCGTCTATCCAAAGACATTTTTCATTGTTTGATGTTCAGAAAAATCAATATCCTACAAAGTTCGGTTGTCTGTGAAGCCAACCACATGCCGGCAATTCTTGTGGCGTTACAGAAGGCAGAAATCGCGTCTGTCATTGTCGAATTAGTGTGTTTGAAGCGTGATCCCGGAGCGATTCTTGCTCATTTTCGTTCTACCTCTTCCAGCGTGACCAACAACGTGTTCTCCTCTGCTTTAACAGCAGATCAACGTTCAGCACTGTAGGTAATGACCGCTACAACGGTTGAATCGAACAGTTTTCTCCTCGCCCTCATGGCCAGCTCAGTGTAAAACAGCGATGTTTTAATACGATTATTAAAGCTGGCCCATCTGGCCTTTCTTCTTCTGCTAATTTCCTCATCTAACCAGTCCTGGACTTCACCTGACGGCCGAGTCATACACAGCTGATGGCTTCTTCGAGTTCTTCGCCATTCGTATAGACAGATTCGTTGAGGAAGTTCTCGTTGTGCATCCATTTTCTCTTGGACAGATTCTCTTGCCCTCCAATCTGATTGTAGCAGCCCGCCGACTGGGTCTGTTGCGGTAAAGGGTCCATCCCATCAGCCGCTTGCATCACTGTTTGCATTTGGGGATGAGACGCTGCTGGTCGATTGTACGGCTTTATTCCCCATTATGAATACAAACAGAGGACATGACTGAAGTCCACAGCGGAAGTCCCTTCCAATGACGTACCGTCCCTCTTTTGTACCCGTTCTTCCAGCGCCAGAGCCAATCTGAGTGACCACTGGTGCGTTTACCTCAAGCACGTTTTATGCCAGCCGCATTCATGATCGCTCCACGGGAACAAGACCTGCACGGCCTGCTACATCCATCCACCAATGCTGCATTTAGCCATCCAGTCCACGTGACTGGGCCTACGTCTCCGAGTTGCCGGAGATCACTGTATCTGAAGAGAAGTTTTCGGAAGTGGTTGAATGTTTTGATTGGCGGCTTTCGTCTATCGACTTTGTTCTCGCGGTGAATGTGCTCTATGACCAAGCGATCGCCTAGCATCGCTTTGCTT